CTGTCATTTCCTGTCCTGTTCCCGTTGAGCCCTCCTATCCCCGTTTCTTCATTTCACATATGGGGTGGTTTTTAGGTCATTTCAACACACAAAGACAGGTTGTTCTTTTTCGCTCGTGTTTTGGCGGTGCGATTTCCATTCTTGTGTTTGATGATTCAGTCTTCTAAGACTGGTCTTTGATCGTCGATTTTGATCAAAGAGGAAAATCGCCTTCTGGGTTTTGGTTGGATTTTGAGATTAGAGCACCTGAATGCCAATACTCCTTATGGTTTTGCATTCGGCCACCATTGCAAAATCATAGGGAGCGTTGTTTTCCTCTTTGCTTGGTTCGTTCTAGCGTTTGCTCTCTCTTCTCTCTTACGAGTCTCGGTGTCCGGCGTCGGCATCATTACCTCCGCGCTGTTCTTTGGTGAGTTTAAGAGCTGCCGAATCGTTCGATGTTTCCATTTATTCTCGCAGATTCGCTTTCAAATTTGTCTAATTTATGGTTTTTGAACAAGGTTTTTTGCTTTTTTGCGTTTCTGGCATCTTATCTGCCTCGCCTCTCCGTTCGCGATCTGGTGAGTTTATAATTTTTTCTTGCAGATTTTTAGGTTTTCAATTATAATTTGGATATAAACTAGGCTCTTTTATTCTCTGCTCTATCAAGTCCCGTTGCTGTACGCGATTTGGTGCGTTTATTGTCGAATGTTCGATTTTCTCTTTCAATTTATTCTTGCAGATTTTTAGGTTTTCATTTTGTGTAATTAATTGTAATAGAACTAGGTTCTTTACCGTCTGCTATAGATTTGGTGAGTTTATCTCTTAAATGTTCGATTTTCTATTTCAGTTTATTCTTACAGATTTATAGGTTTTGAATTTGTTCTAGGTTCTTTAGATCTCTGCCCTTCGAAGTACTGGCATCTCCTTTGTGTTACAGTACTGATTCGGTAAGTTTAAGTTATCGTCACATTTTTCTCTTGACCGTAGATTTTTAGGTGTTTGATTCTGTGTGTAGGGTCTGCATTTTTTTTTTCTCTTTCCTTTTATTCTTGCAGATTCTTTTAGGATTTGATTATTTGCTTAATTGGATTTGAAGTAGCAATCAAATTGTTGCTGTCATTAAACATGTCTACTTTTCTTTTCCCTAATTTTCTTCATTGTTACTTGATGGAATGGTGAGGAAAAAAAGCTATTCTTCCGTGTTATATTAGTTTAATCGATAAAAGGAAAAGTTGAGTATGATAGAAAGAAACTATCCATATATTGGAAGTAAATGGATTTTCTGTTTCAATTTATTCTTGCAGACTTTTAGGTTTTCATTTTGTGTAATTAATTGTAATAGAACTAGGTTCTTTACCATCTGCTATAGCCGGATTTAGTGAGTTTATCTCTCAAATGCTCGATCTTCTATTTCAGTTTATTCTTATAGATTCATAGGTTTTGAACTGATGGGTTATTCGTTCTCTATTTCTATTATAAGTTTCTTTTGCTTAATGCTTTTCACATAACTCATTTTGTTTTCTCACTAGATTTTATGAATTTCAACTGATTGTTTGTTCGCCCTTTCCCTATATCTTTCCAAGTGAATCGATGTTGGACCTTTTTCCACTTGAGAATTCTCTTGTGCTTAACAAAAGATAATATCCATTAATCGAAATAGCTAATGTTGGTGTTGTCAATTAAAATGTTGCAAATTTTTTCTATCAATTGGATTCTACAGGGGCACAATCTGCAGAGACTATTCGCTGAATGGGCAAAATATATAACTGCAATTCCATCCAAGTATGGCTTATTTCTTTGTAGCTTTATTAACTAAATAAAGTTTTTGTATTCTTTTTCCATTCTTTCTTTTTGGGTCTGAGTCTGAGGCTGAGATTATTAAGTGATTAAGAAGTAGCTGATCATTACTCTTGGTTTAATGGAGAAATTTGGTATCTTTCTGTTGGTTGCTGTTATCATCATATCATTCAATTGATGAATATATGTGTTCTATTAATACTAAGAGCAGCTTTCTGATTAAATTTTATGAAATTCCTTTGTGGGTGTGAGGGATTGATTTCTGTGGAGAAGCTTGGCCACTCAATAAGCCACTTACTTTTAGCGAATTTAGTGGGTTTGAACGACTGATTGCTGTGGAAGTGTAACAGCATTGACTGAACTATAAGAGTCAGTGGTCTTGGAGGGTTATATGGTTTCCTCTCTTTTATTGGGTCCCCTTCTTACTAATATTTGACAAAATCTGCAGGGACTTTAGAAATAATAATCTTGCTGGTGACATACCTTACAGTCTTCATCCAAATTTACTGCCAGTGTATGCCTTATGTGCTTATTTGTTTCCATAACCTTTCGTTTTGTTCCACTTCTGACTTTTGTATTGATCTTCAAGAGCTTCTTTTTGAATGCAAATATCTTGCTAATAATCAATTTAATCAGGGATGGCCAAAAAAAATAATAATAATAATAATTAGGGCCTTCCTTATTCCATCTACTCTATGACTTTCCTTATATATCTGTGAGTAATGTTCCTCACATTGATTCATTTCTTAACTTCTATGGATACTAAAACTGGAAGCATCTTTCTTTTATCGTTTTTGCATAATTTTTTCTCATTTGTTGGCAAACCTTCTTTTTTTTTTTTTTTTTTTGGTAATCATCTGATCTTTGAGATGGGTTGTCAAAGATTCACCATTTCTTTGAATAACTCTCTTTTTCTGGGTCTTTCTAGCTTGGCTTTTGTTTCATTTTATTTTATTGTATTTTATTTTTTGTTGATTTGAACAAATGTGAGGAGGTCAGTCTTTTTCTAGATTTGTCTTTTATAAGAAAATGTTAAATATTGCAGTATATTTTAGATATGCACGTTAAATTGCTAATTAACTTTGTTAATTAGTTTTGGATGGTATTCATTTAGATAGCTGTTTTATATCTTGGTTAAACAGAGTTTTACACAAATATGATATTTCTTATCACTTCAGGAATCTCTGTTAATGCCTTAGCCAGTATGCTTATTCATTTCTGTTGTCCCTGATAATGCGGTATGCAAAAAGACAAAATGGTGGAGTGACCTGAACATATGAAAGTGTTTGACAAATGTATGTTGATTATTTGATCTCGGTTTTGCTTATTTGTTTAAGTAAGGTGATCCCTTCTGCTTTTGTGAAGAGTCTATTTACTTATAGAGATAAAGAGAAAAATAATAACAAAACAAGTTTTCCTTATGGAGACCAAAATTGAACCAAGGGAGTTAAAAAGAATTTGTCTAAACTTTAAATCATAAAATACTATTATAACTCAATTCATTCTTATGTACATTTCTATTTATGACATTCCTTTTCTTTTTTATTTTCTTGAAGAACTGAACATTGATGTAAAAACCCATGAATTGAGAAACAACAATGAGAAAATTAAGGCTTGCAACCACTCTTCTACAAACACAATGGCCAACTCTTTTATTGTTAAAGTTTTTTATTTTGTTGTTTGCAAATAGCTATAGGAGCTTGAATGTGGCCCTAACATTCATGTACATGTACTTCTCTTGTGCCTTGGGTTTTTGGCTATCACTGAAAGGTTCTTTCATTTTGGTGCAGAATTTTTGCATTTGTTCGTTGTCATGTGTTACCAACTACTTTGTGAAGTATGTTATGGATGTTATATGCATTAAAATATTATAATGTAGTAGATTTTTATCCTCTTTTAAGTTTTAAATCCAATCCTACTAATTAAATTTCAATATTTAAGATGCATATAAAGATACAAATGTTAAAATCTTCTTTTTCTTTTTTTAATTAGTTGTATGCGAAACAAAAGTGCCGATGTATATGATTTTAACAATTTTTAAACTCGCTTAAAAGTGTTCTTTGGACTTTCAACTTAACTTGCATTGCATGTATTAAAGTTAAAACATAGTAATACACTACAATTTTATGTTGTGCATGACTTGAATGTTAACTACAGGTACAGTTGTGTAAATTAGATTATATTTTTCTTTTAATGAGGCCCAATTGACCTTGAAAATAACCACTCCCCGCAGAGCGGTGTGTTCCTGCTAGTATAAATTATGACATAAAGTTCCAGGATTTTAACATTAAAAAAAAAAGGAAGAAAAGAAAATGTAAAAGACGATTTGATGCTTAGGATATTCTTGAACAATTTCTGACATAATATAAGAATTAGAAAGGAATGGTGCCGGTCAGCATACTATGGGGAAGATATACCTCAGAAATAGAAGGAAGCGTAAAGATTTCCATCGGGATTGTTCCGGTAAGGGAATTCCGGCCTAGATTCAAAGAGCTGAGCTCTTTGCAGTGGTTGATGTCTCCCGGGATGCTGCCGTTGAACTTGTTATCCTGCAATTCAATTCTGTAAATGGTCTGGCAATCGACAAAATCTGGAATTTTTCCCATGAGTTTGTTTGAACCGGCAGAAAAAATTTGCAGACTTGGCGCGCTCCATATGTTTTCCGGCAATGGACCTTCGACTGAATTCTCAGAAATGTTAAGGTAATGCAGGCTCGGTGCATTGCCCAGATCCAAAGGAAACTGGCCACTGAAATTGTTCCTGCTCAAGTCAACGAAGGTAAGGTTCGGCAGTCTCCCGAACCCAGTCGGAATGGTTCCATTGTGGAGATTGTTCTCTATTCTAAACCTTGAAAGGGACGTGCAGTTCAAAAGACTTCTCGGAAGCTCATTCGTGAACAAATTGTTGAAGAGGATCAGCTTGAGCAGCATGTCTCCGGCGCAGATATTTGTAGGGATTGGACCAGTGAGCGAGTTTGACGCCACATCGACGATTAACAACTTCCCATTTGAGCCCAGCTTCTGGGGAAGAATGCCGGTCAGGCGGTTGTCCCAGAGTCTCAAAATGCTAAGGTTTGGAAGCTCGCCTATACCTTCCGGTATTGTGCCAGTAAGATTGTTCCAATTCAAGCCTAACCAGGTTAGCTCAGATAAAGAGGAAATTCCATCTGGAATTTGGCCGGAGAGCTGATTTTCTGACAAATCAAGTATCCTTAAAGCTTTAAGGTTTCTGAAGCTCACCGGAATTTCGCCTGTGAAACTATTTTTGAAGAGGTACAAGCTCTCAAGATTGGTTAAATTTCCCAGTTCTTGAGGCAGAGGGCCTGAGAGATTGCAGCTGGAGATGTCTAAGTACTTAAGATTTGATAAGACTGAGAATTCAGCCGGAACTCTGCCGAAGAACCCATTGTAGCATATCTCCATTCGCTCGAGCTGGCCCAAGAATCCCAACTGATACGGTAAAATACCTTCCAGACAATTTCCACCCAAATTGATGAACTTCAACCTGGGGATGCTTCCATACCCGGCCGGAATTTCACCTTCAAAGTAATTTCCTCCAAGATTAAGCTGCTCCAAGAACGGTAAATACACAAATTCCTGAGGCAATTCCCCTGTGAAGCTGTTAATGTAGGAATTGAAGATTTTCAAAAACTTAAGCTTGGAAATCCCCGCTGGGAAAGTCGAATTAAAGTTGTTGTAGCCGATGTCAAGAACCTGAAGCTGAGGCAATTCAAAAATGGCCGACGGAAAAGACCCATCAAAGGAATTCCCACTCAAATTCAAGTGAACCAAACAGGACAAATACCTAATTTCACCCGGAATAGTACCAGAGAGATTCCGGCGAGATAGATCAAGCGTGGTGATCACAGCCGTTCTGGGATTACACTTGACACCAGACCAAGAACACCAAACTGGGTTTTCCAAATCAGGTTTTGAGAAGCGTGGAGTTGGGTCCCAATCCTTGAACGACTTCAGAGGATCAATGAGAGAGGATTTTAAAGAAAGAAGCGCTGTAAGAGGGAGAAGATGAGCTGTAGTGGGGGCGGAGAAGACAACTGCAGATTTGCCAAGAAAGTAGAAGGCAAACGAAAGAAAAATAAGAAGAAAGGAAGGTTTCATGGTTATGGAGAAGCGGGGAATTTGTGTGGGAAGAGGTTGATGTTTAGAGAGGTAAATTTAAGGGAAGAAA